ATTATCACTTTGAAAAATAATTCTTCATTTTACAAAATAATTCACCATTTTTTTTTGCTTGTTTGTTTTATACATAACTAATTTCCCTACTGAAGTTAATATAAATTTGTTTACACAGCAAATTTCAGGAATACATCTATCGCAAATGGTACATCTTTATAGCAGTTTTTTATAAAAGGATTTCCAAAAACTATCTGTGATAACTGAAGTGTTATGAATTTAACCTCAATTCTAGTAAAAGTAAACAGAATTTTCAAGACTTCAAGACATTCTCTCACACAACAGTGGGCAAAAGAAAAAAGACAATAAGAGAGTAAGATATGGAACATCATTTACACAACTGAAATGTAATGTTAAACCCCTGTCTCTAGTTTGGTGTTTAGGAATTTCTGTGGGTAGAGACATGTCTAGAAATGGAAAGAAACCTAAAAGTACTCATATAAAGATCTCAAAGAAATACTACCATTCCTTTGTGGCAAGCCACTATTATTTTATATTTTCCTATTCTATCCTTACTGTTCATCTTTTTCAATGATACATTAAAAAAATAATAAAAAGAAAAAACTCACTGTTGTTGATTTGATTCTGACTCATAGAAACCCCCATTGGGTTTCCAAGGCTGTAAATTTTTTGGAAGTACATTGCACTATCTTCCTTCTGCAGAGCAGCTGATAGGTTTGAACAGCTGACCTTCTATTTAGCAGTCAAATGCCTTACCCACTATACCACCAGAGCTACATAGTATCACCAAATATTTAGTCTAATATTCAGTTTTAGGGCATATGGTACTAGCAACAGGCACTCTGGTGTCATAATAGAGTGATCTCAGCTGCTAACCAAAAGTTTGGTCGTTTCAACCTACCAGCCATGTCACAGAAGAAAGCTCTAGCAGTCTGTTTCTATAAAGACTAAAAAATCAAACTCACTGCCATGGAGTCAGATCCAATTCATAGCGACCCTCCTTGGCTTTTCAAGGCAGTACCTCTATGGAAATAGATTGCCCAATCTTCCTTCTGAGGAGAGGTGGTGTGTGGGTTTGAACCACCAGCCTTCTGGTTGTAGTCAAATATCTTAGGCACTACACCACCAGAGCTCCTCTATAAAGACTACAGCCTTGTAAACCCTTTGGGACAGTTTTACTCTGTCCTATAGGTTCGTTATGTGTCAGAATCAACTCGAAGGCAGTTGGTTATGGTTTGGGTAGTAATAACATCAAATACTTTGTTCGTATTCAGAAATGCTTTTGTCAGTAAAGATTCAACACCATCTGAGGGTTGTGAGAAACCATTATGTTCTTCCAGAACACTGAAAAGCAAGAGATTACCCAAATCAATCCCTTTTTCATCACCATGATCACCTTTAAAATATTAGCATTGTAACCTCTAATACAAATAAGCAAATGTGAAAAAATAAGGTTTTGTGGCTTTTATTATTGTCGCTGGTATTTGAAGTAACAGGAAATTTGAAATTAAGTTCTGGTAAAGTAAATATAATGGGTATGAATATGGTCTTAAGTTTTAAAAATAAAGCACAAAGGAGGCAAAAAAGGAATTGTGGGAAAACGTCTTAAGGATTAAGAATTGGCCTGGAGGTACCCTTCTGTCTACCTGTCTGATTTAAAACAATTTGGATATTTCACTGGCTTCAAGGCTTACTGTGAGTCCTGAAGTACTTGAGGTAAAAATGTAGCTTAAAATAAGTACATCGTTATGCTTGATGTATTACCTACAAAGCTATCCTTCTTGATCCTCAATCCCCAGGACAAAGTCAGATTTAGGAATAATAGGAGAGTGACCAACATGGTGGCGTTGAGGAGGAGGAAGACCTAGAGAGGTACATGGGAGGTACAGACAAGAAAGATGAATCCCTTTGCACATGCAGTGCTACCTTTTTGTTTTTATACTGTGTTGTCAGGGATGACTAGCATTGATCTGTAGGTGGATAGAAGGGTAGACAGGCTGAATGATCAGGTATGTCTAGACAGAGGGGACTGTGCCCATGACCATGTATAGGGTTGGCAAATGTTTCTATAAGCATTTGTATGTGCTGTAAGAATGTCTGGGTGTGTAGTAACTCTGACAAGGGACAAGGTGGTGGTGACTTCTTGGCCATGCCCAGCTACCCTGAGCGAGTGAGTAGTTGAACCGGTGGACTGAGGACCATGGTTTCAGGGGACATCAAGCTCAATTGCCATAATATACTACACAAAACCATTGCTCTACACCCTACTTTAGTGAGTAGAAACCAGGGCCTTAAAAGCTGGCAAGCGGCCATCTAGATGTAATGATAGGTCTCTCCTCATCCAGAGCAAAGAAGAATGAAGAAAACCAAAGACATGGAAGCAAATAGTTCAAGGGACTAGTAGACCATGTGATCCTCAGCCTAAATGACCATGAGGCCAGAAGAACTAGAAGGTGCCTAGCTACCACTGTCAACCACTGAGAGGGGGATCGGTGCAGGAGATGCTGGGTAGACTGGGAGAACAATGTAGAACAAAACTCAAAATGAAAATAAAAGATCAGGTTGCTGGTTTGATAGAACCTGGTTAGACCCCTAAGACTATGGCACCTAGATACCTTTCAGGTCTAGAACGGAACTCACTCCTGTGGCTTCCAGCCAAAAAAAAAAAAAAGACAGGTATGTGGGGTGAACATTTACATCAGGTAGATACACTTCTAGGAACCGATCAGTTCTGGGAAAACAGAATGCAGTGGTTGCACGGGAGGCAGCCCAGAATATGGGACAGTATATGAGAAGAAAGGACACAGGGAAGAGGTAACTAAGGGGAGGAAGTAGGAAGCAAGCTGCTACATTGTGCGAAAGTGCAGTCAATGTCATGAAACAAAATGTGTATGCACTGCTATATGAAAAATGAATTTGCTCTGTAAACTTTCCCCCAAATCACAATGAAAATTAAAAAAAGAGAGAGGGAGAGATTCCTGACTTTATACAGCTTCCCAAAATTATTCTCAAACTAAAGGATTTCAGGAGTGACAATAAAACCAGTTCCTAATTCCTGTATCTTCACTTTTTTTTGTTTGTTTGTTTGTATTCCTTATTTATGCTCTGAGAGGCAAGACAGTACAGTTATAAAGGGCATGGCTTGTAAGACACAGCCCAGCTCAATCACTAGCTGTGTAACATTACTCAAGTTAGGACTTGACTCAATTTCCTCATCTGTAAAATGGGACATAAGAGTAGTTGCTACTTCTGAGAGTTGTTATCAACAGTATACATATATGTTAATAGACGTATAGCACATAGAACAGTGACTAACATTCCTTACTTTGAATGTATAGTAATCAAAAAGTGAGTTTCCTAACATTTTATTTTTTTTGGTCAATGCTAAACTATATGTAACTATATGTAATTAATCTAATGAGGTCATTTTTGAAGTAAAGTGAGCTCAGCATTTTTCTATGGATTTGGAATAAATGCTAATTGCTCATGATGCAGAAACTATGCTGGCTTCAATAGATGCAAGTAATATAATTTATAGTTTAAGAAGTTGCCAGTACTGTTTTTATATCAGGTGAGAACATGTCCTTTTAGTAGTAGTACAATAAATGGATGTAATAAAGGAATAATAAATTAATAATGTTCAATTTACTCTATAGGAAAAACTGTATATATGTGCTGATAAAATTAATAATGGTTTATGTTGTTGTTGTTATGTGCCGTTGAGTCGCACCCGACTCATAGCCACCCCTCCTTGGGTTTCTGAAGGAATATCACTACAGAAGTAGATTGCCCCATCTTCCTTCCAAGGAGTCTCTGATGGGTTTGAACTTTTGGTTAACAGTCAAGTGCCTTAGGCACTAAGCTGCCAGAGCTCCTAATGGTTTATGAGTATCTTTAATTTAAAAAAAATGAATACCAGTCACTAGGGGGAGAGAAGGGAAAAATTGCCAGGTTTTTGTACCTCTTTTGACTTTTCAGCAATACTAAATTGATTGAAAATATTAGAAACAGATTTTGCTTAGATTTAGATTGTTTGAATAAATCCATTTTCATCTGGATATAATGAGTATGAAATCATCTCACTTTGTGTTGTTGTTGTTGTTGTTGTTGTTATGTGCCATCGAGTCAGACCCAACTCATAGCGACCCCTCCTTGGGTTTCTGAGGTAGTATCACTACGGAAGTAGATTGCCCCATCTTCCTTCTGAGGAGTGGCTGGTGGGTCTTAGGCACTATGCTACCAGAGCTCCTAAGGTGCTTAAATATTTTATTATTGCCATTTGTTTCTACTGTGGAGAAACATTTGCCACATTTTTCAAATTCACGTATTCTATAAAGGCTTATAGGAGCTCTGGTAGCATAGTGCCTAAGGCACTTGACTGCTAACCAGAAGGCTGGTGGTTCAAACCCACCAGCCACTCCTTGGAAGGAAGGTTG